AGTTAGAAATGACTTCGTTCACTGTATGGCTATATCGAGGGGATGCTCGCTTATATTTTGTATATACGTTCAGCTATTTCTGAAAGAGAATTTATAATGATTCTTGCATTTGCTTTGAAACTTTCGTTCGCAACAAAAAATTTGCACGATTTTTGCACAGAGAGAGACAGAGAGAGAGAGAGAGAGAGAGAAAGAGAGAGCTTAAAAGCCCGATATATTTGAAAACGATGAAAAGAATTTTTGACCTCCATGGGGTCGCAATCTCCGAGTCAAATATATGCCCGCTACGTAGAAACTTTACTCGAACTTCTCGCAGTGGACGTTTCACCTTTGACTCGTTTCGAAGTTGTACATTAAAGGAGACGCTCGAAACAGTCCCCTCGAATAAGAAACTTCTTTCCCTTAACGTTTCCTGTCATATCGAAAGTTTCTGCCTCTGCGAGAGAACTCATTGAATAGCGGACAACGTCTCATCCTCCGCCGGACGACATCCGTTTCGATGGATTTTTACAGAGAGAGATTCTATATTTTCCATTCCATCGTAAAATGGATCGCCACGTCGACGTCGACAAACAAAATGTAGTGTATACGCGCGAGCGTTTTCTTTCTCTTTCGAAAGGAAAGATCCGCATTTTTTTTCTAAGCCGATTCCGACTTACTCGGAAATTTGGCAGCGTGCGATCGAACGTTCTTTACAAATCCCGGGACAAAGAGACAGCATATTTTATATTTTCTTGTGTCATGTATCGTGAATTACTTTCAAATAGTGAAAGAAATATTGGAACGATCAATTTAACGAGCACGTATGCGAGAACGAATTGCCAGGAACAAGTAATACATTTGATAATGCGGCCAGTAAATCGCGAAAGCAGTGAAACAATACTTTGCAAAACGAGAAAAATTCACGTTTTAGAATGGCCAGCCAAGTCTCCGGAATATTATAGATAATTGTTGGAAGGACAAAATTCATAAAATATATATTCAAAATGACCAAGAAATCATTAAAAACCTATATAAATTTTTGCCTCAAAGAATGGCCGCCATTATTAAATGCAAAGAAGGTCATATTAAAACAATTATCAAACTCGTTCCTTTCCGCTTCTATCCATTGTTTTTTTTTTTTTTCACGAAATGTGCCATAGCATTTCCACTCTTTCTTTAATAACACAAAATGTACGTTCGTTTTTAATAACACAAATGCAAAGGAGAAGAAATTCATGTTACTTGTACATGTTGGTAAAATTCATACAAGAAAAATATTATCATTCGTTTCATAGGAATTTCTTGATTTTTAGAGTGTGCTATCGAATTATGCAACGAGTTCTCGAAACACAGGTTTCAAACGCGTACGTACGGGAAACAGATCGACGATTCAACCTTGATCGAGTTTCAAGTTCCACTAATTCCACTGATTTTCCAGCTGTTCGGCCCGGCCCGAAGAATCAATACGTCATCTGATTCGACGGATTAAGCGCGAAGCGGAAGTTCCGTGAAACAAGGCGAATTTTCTTATCGAAAGTTTAATAGAGTTCAGAATCGAACGGCATCCTCGGCGAGGTCGTAACGGGGATATCTCTCCGGCGGAGGCGAGTGAGGACGTACGAGAGGGGATGGATGGAGATCGACTTACCGATCCCTTTCTGCCGGGGAAGCTGAAAAATACATCCGGTCCGTTCCGTTGCGGCATCTGGCGGAGAACGTTCAACAGTTTCGCCGAATGTCGTGGCTGCGATACGAGTAAGAATGCCTCAGTACTTCGTGTACATCGTGTAGATCGAGGAGAGCGGTGCAATTCCATTTTTACCGAAAATTTCGACAGAAATCGAATAAAAAAGGACAAAGGGAAAAGAAACTTTTAAGAATTAATCTTAAAAAGACTTTTGAACTGACTTAGCTAATTGAGAAATATATATTTTCAATAATAAGTAACTTGATGAGCTTTAATTTTTAGCTTATTATTGTTGATACGCTCACATTTCTTGTCGATGTCAAAAAATAACATTATTCCAGAGCTTGCAGGTCATCATTATTTCGTGAAATTACCTTTATCTCCAGTCATTCGACAGCCTGATAGAAAGACTATCAATTAGCTAGAACTTGATGGCTCATTACATTCATATTGCACAAAACAATAATAAACGCAGGTCCGAAATTTATAATAATTCGTTCGTATTGGATTTGGACTAGCACCGGAATTTACACGCCGTGGCTGAAAAAATGGAGTTGCAACCGGGCCCTGATTTATGATTCTTACCCATTTCCCTTTCACAGCTTTCATAGCACCGAATAGGAGCTTCAACTCCTTCACCGTTATACTGTAGCTGGCCAACACTCCAAGCATGTCGATCAATAGATCTATCGAACAGAGGGAAATTGCTCGTTAAATCGTGCGTGACACGCGGACAGGCTAGATAAGGATTCGTCTAGATAAGGACTCACCTGCGACAACAGTCTCAGCCCGGGACAATCGAAGCAGCACGTGTTCGATGAGGCTTACGTCTGTACACGCTTGTAAGTTCCGCACGCTCTTTCTCAAAATAGCGATGAACACGCTC